TAGATTTCTTGCTTCTGCCACACATTTCCCCAGCTGTGAGCCTTCCAACCTTCTAAGTATTCCTTTATATGTGGCTCAGAGTTCTGGGACCATCCCCTGAGCCTGCCTGTTCGGGTATTCTGTGTTGTTGTTGGTGGAGCTCTCTGCTATACGTCCACCCGATCCGCCATCTTGTTTGTTCTCAGGCTTAGTTTTAAAGTTGATAATTTTGTATGGCCCATAAATGATGTAAATTTTGGCAGAAGCAAGATTCCCCATCCCTGCTATACAGGGTCACTATGTGTCAGAACCAACTTGATGGCACTTAAGAACATAACTAGGAGACACAAAATGATCCAGCACCATCTAAATCACTGGGGAGATTGTTAGAAGTGCCAATCTCAGGCTCACTAAGGTAGAAAACACATTTCAATAAGGCACCCAAGGGATTTTGTATTTAGAGGGCAGTTTGAAAATCATAGCCCCAAGATCATTCAAGATGAAGATGGGATAGCTCTGAGAACAGTGGATTGAAACTTATTTACAATTAAAGTTTAGCATGACGTGTGTATGGGAGACAGAGAGAGAATGACAACAAAGACCTGGGTTGAAATCAAGCAGGACTTGTAGTTTCTCTGTCTGGGTGTCTCCAGCTTAGACTGGAGTGTGCACACAGCACCATGTCACTCCATATTCACCATGTCACCGTGACCGATTCAGCACAGCAAGAGTGTGGAGAAAAGAATTCACTTCCAGTGCGCATGGTGATCAGCCACACTTCCCAAACCACCGCCCCATCACCCCACACTTGTCCACCCTTCAGGTATTGTTAATAACTACTAGGAGATCTGTGTACTTCTTTCTAAATACCCGAGGGTCATATAATGATGAAATGCTTCCATGTATAGGTAGCACAAGTCTAGAATTAAAACATAAACAGGTTTGCCCCAAGCAGCTTTATTTTAATCTCTTACAATTAGCATCACAGTTTAAATATTTATGCCTGCAAAGGTTTGCATAATCTACAAGACACAGTTAATTTCAGTAGTTGAGTGTTTTAACTAATTTGGGGTGGGAGGGTCTTCAGCACAAAGTTGTCACAACAATTATTTGAAACTTAAATTACTTACAATTCAGTATTTTGGGTCCTGATTCATAAAGCTTAGTGCATTTCATGATTTATTTATGAGTTTTCAAGAGAAGTAAGCAGTATGTAGAATACTCCCTAGCTAAAAATGGGAGTGAATGGCTTTTAGAAGAAAGTCCGTCAGTATGCTTACTAGAAACTGAGAGTGAAGTAAACAAAACTTCAGTGGCTGCATTTGTTTTGGGAATTTCAGTATATGAGAGGGCTTCAAAAAGTTCATAGAAAAATGGAATACAGAGATAATGGAATTTTTCCATTAACTTTTTGATGCCCTGCTGTATAGCAGCAGTCAGACTAACACAGGGGCCCCACTAGACAATCTGAAGGCTTTATTGATATATTCTAGATGTACAGCAAAAAAAAATTATTCTCTCCCATTTTTTTTTTTTTTGTTAAGCGAAAACAACACTCTCAGTAAATTAGTATTGTGTTCCTACAGAACTATCTTTAGACATCATGCCTGAATCAGCACATTTAAACAAAAAGACAGAGGAAGACGTGTCTTTTTTGATGATCATCAGGTCACTGGCTTTATTCCAGTGAAAGCCGGGGCAGAGTGACCAAGTGGTGGCTAGCTACACCTACTGTAGAAGAAAGAAACAGCATAGATAAGGTGCTAGAAACCCAAGAGCATCCTTGAAGCACTTTAATGGATACAAGTGATTTTATGTATATAACAAAGGAAATGACACAAAGAAAATGAACGATTAATGACTTTTTAAAGTAAAGTGATACATTTCAATGAATCAGGTCCCAGGTAGGTCTTTAGAACAAAATTTACAGTAAACATTTAAGCTCTGGAATGCAAGTGACCAGTACATTACATTTACAAAACTGCTTTGACAGTCGTTCCTCCAGAGTGAGATTTATAAAATGTACAAGCTAGTTCACAATGCCTTTAGATACAATGTTATTAAAATACATTGTTAATCATAAAAATACTTTACTATGTACATGTATAAACTCTAAATTTACCTACTAAAGGAAGTCTCTGAGTCAGTTTCTGGCCCCCTGGCGCAGGAAAGAGCAGTTCTATTATTTGGTCTTCATACCACATCATGGGCTGAGAGAGTCATGGTACTGCTGTTAAGTCTTCAATAAAAGGGTAATGTATTTTTCCTCCTGCAGACTGTCTAGCTGGAAGAGTCAGTTTTGTTTCCACTGTACTTGACTTTCCTAAATGACGATCCAAGTAACTCTGGGCACTCACATAATTCATTTGCAATTTGGTTACACTTAAAAATCAGGCTGTAGTTCATTTCATCAGTTACGACACTGTCTTGCTTGTAGTCAGGATGATTGGCGATAAACTCCCTCATCCATCTGGCAACTGTCATTAGTTCTCCTGGATGGTGGGGAAGGAGATTTTATTTTTTAGAATCATATAGACATTCGCGTGCTTGTTTTAGGTAAGTTAATATTTAGTGGACAGCATAAACACAACTCTACACAAAAATCAGGGAGCGTGGTGGCTCCATGTGAACAGCATTGGCTGCAAACCACAAGACCAGCAGTTTGAGCCTGTCAACTGTTCCGTGGGAGAAAGTTGAGGCTTTCTGCTCCCTTGAAGATGTAAAGGCTTGGAAACCCTATACAGGGTCACTGTGAGTCAAAAGTTACTTGACAGCACTTAACAACAACAATACAAAAATCACTATCTGCCTTCTCAGTGTAGCCAACATGACAGGGTTTGAGAATGCAAGATGTCTCCCAAGTGTACTCAGAATTCCACCTGGGAAGAAAGTCATTGAGATCACAAGAAGCAGTTGCTGTGATGCTTCCACATGGCGATACTGCCAGTGCTAGTGACCCAAGAGCCAGCACACATGTACCAGAGCACACATGCTCCTGAGGAGCAGCACACTGCCCTGCTGTGGGCTGACACTGCTGCCCAGGGCGGTAGCGTCCTGCGTTCCCTAGTGTCTTCCTCATCAAGCAGGTGGAAAGAATCAAGAAAAGCAGAAGAGCGAATGAAGTGGGAAACTGGCAGACACACCATCTAGAGGGCAACAAATCTACGGTCATCCTTTGTGACTCCAGAAAGTGTAAGGATCACCAAGTGAAATACAGGGGCTGCTATCATGACTACTGCTTTTATGAACGACAGTGACCTGTGCAAAGACTGTGTTGGGCTTACTGTATATGTCATCTCACAAAGAAAGGGGATTTCTAGTGTGTTCACTGTGTAAGAGGCACACTAAAGACCTGAACACCTTAGTTCTGCAGCTTATCTGACTTATAGCATTACTTAACCAAAGAAAAAGCCCATGATGACACACAAGGAACACAGGTGGACATACATGAAAGGCAATCTAGATATGAGATTTCATTGTCTAAGATACCACCTTTTATAAGATGCACCACACTATTCTATGAACCATGAGGGAATAAAGCCCTGCAAATTAATTAAACTTCAACTGTCAGAGATTATGTTGCTAAGCTCAAGGTTGATGGTTTATGTCCGTCAACCACTCCGCAGGACAAAGATGAAGCTGTGTGCTCCCGTAAAGATTTATAGCCTCAGAAACTATAAATATATATACATATATACATGGTCGCTATGAGTCAATATCAACTGGATGACAGTGGGTTTGGGATTGTGGTTTTGTTTTTTTTTTGTTAATAAGATATGAGGTGTATCCAACTGCAGATATGTCAAAACATGAAACAGTGTGCATTCATAAAGTATTTTCAAAGACTAAGAAACTGAATATTGTGAGATTCCATCTATAACATGAGATCTGAAAGAATAAAAGGATACCATACCAGACGCTCTCTTCTTAATTAGCTTTAGGTAGTTGAGAATGCTACATCTGGTATCCACATCCACTTCCATGTTTTCAAGGTAAGAGTTCAGAATTGGGATCAGCCCAGGAAACACCCCTTCCTACAAGAATCAGAACACATTATTAGCTCCTTGCCAGTTGGTGTGAGTGGGAGGTGATAGTTTAATAAGCAGTTAAGGTGATCTTAACTGCTGAACCACGGAGTGTCCTGACTAAAGCCAAGTTGACACAGAACTTTAACCACAATATTGTTCGTGCATTCTGATTTTATAGTTACTTCTGCCAGTCTACAAATTAAATTTTAATGAGAAAGTAGGAATAGATAAGAAAGCACAAGTAATTTATTTACATACAAGGGTATGCAAGCAAACAATGAAATGGCGGGCTCCTACCTTTCCATTGATGATGGTGTCTATGCTCATTAAGGTGTACTCCTCCGGGGCCAGCTCGGTACTATTTGGGGCCTTGCCACACCCGTCCACCACAGTGTTGCCACCTGCCAAAGGAGAGGGGAGAGGAACAAGGTGCTTAACTTAGTGCCTCGTAGCATTAAACTGAGTTCAGACAGCCAAGAGAATGTAATACCTTTGCAAATATCTTTTCTGAAATAAAACATTCCCTGCAAGACAGCATCTCGTTTCTGTGCTACTTTCATGTTTTCATCCACCTATAGGAGAAAAGTAATCACAGCTCTGTCAACATAGTTTGATCAAACACAGAATTTCCATTGCTCTTCAGAATTTAGGACCCCCTTGAGAATTCTACTTTCCCCTCCAATGCAATCTGGGTAGAAAGACAGACTTTTAACTTTCATGCGGGGCTTGTATCAATCAACCATGGATCAGCACATGTTTTTTAATAATTATGGAGGAATTCTAAGAGAAGTTTACTTTTAAAAACAACAACAAAAAGTTAACATTTGTGCAGAACATCTGCATTTCAAGCACTTCTGTAATTGGACCTTGACATCCACAGTGTTCAGAAGGAGGCGGTACACCTCCACACAGCATGGTCACCAAAGGTCCCAGGGTAATGATTCACACAGCAGGGCTAGAACCAAGTTTTCCTGACTTTTAGAACAGTACTCTTCCCACCATGCCACTGGGGTGCCACTGCCACCTTACTCTGGTGAGGAAAGGGCATCAACAGGCTGCTAGACTAGGAATAAGGCTGCTGTTTGTCTCATGGTGGCTCTGCCCAGGGTGACTGGGAGAGGCCCTCGCATTTATAAGCCTGACCATCTGAAAAATGTGCCCTTATTTGTGAATTTTTCGTCTTTTCTGTAATTTTTTAAGACCTTCGCAGTGGAGTTTTTAAACCTTTTCATTGTAACCCCCTGTTTTTTTCTATAATTAGAAATCTGTCAAATAACATATAAAATAGTATCAATATATAAAATAAATACAAACTAAAGGTTTAGGCTGAAGTGAGATACATGTATAGTCTTAGGGACTTAGCCTTTCCTCACACTCATTAATTGTTGTTTATTTTTAAAGAAATTTATAAATAATTGACAGTTTTAAGAGATTCTCAAACAATAGTCAAACTCTACTATGGCTATGAATCCCATTTTCATTTCTCTTTGCTTTTCTTGGCCTTCACAAAATTTCTGCTTTTAAAAAGTGCGTTTCATTACTGTTCTTTAAAGTTTCAAAAAGACTGACTGTTTAGGTTCATTTATTTTCGATCTTTGTTTAAAAATAAAAACATTTAAAGCCATGATTTTCTCCTAAAGGATGGTTTTGCCAATATCTCAGTTTACCGTTGTTTTCCTGTACAACCTGTAATTGTAGTTTTCAACTTAATTTTTAGTCTAAAACCTATTTGGACAGAAAAATGTTTAATTTCCATGTTGTTAAATTTCTCTTGAACATCTTTTTGTTGCATGTTGATAGGAAGTGACTTGATGTCGATATTTGAGAACTGCAGCTTTTCCTTTCGGGCACATAAAAAAGACGTACTATGGTGTGCGATCTGCTATCTCCATCTACTCAATGCTGTGCTGTCTGCAGTGATTATGTTCCATAAGGTTCTCATGGACAGTGAATTAGCAAATACCAACCTCGCCTTGTTTGAACTCAGCTGTGCATTTCTAAAACATTTTGCTGCTCTGTGCATGTGTCTGTCAACAGGTGACTGGCAAAGTACAGCAGGTATTAATCTTGGGGTTACAAATACAGTTCAGCAAACAGGCAAACCCTAGCAAATAATGAGCCTTGACTACAGCTTATTAACCATGTGATACAATCTCCCACGCCCATTTTATTATCTATGGGACCTGTCAGTTTATGAACGAGGAGGCATGTACTCTAAATGATTTGTCTCTTTTAATCCCACATATAGGATTCCTGGTGTGGAGCTGGAGAATCAGCACTAGGCTGCCAACCACAAAGTTGAACATACAAATCCACTAGTTGCTCCTTCAAAACCCTGTACAAGGTCGCTATGAGTCGAACATAGAAACTGAGCTCTGAAAAGGTAAGTAACTCATCAGAGTTCGAAGGTGTAAGCAGTACTACGGACTTCAGATTTAGGTCTCACACCAAAGCCCTATCTTAGCCACCATACCACACTACCTTTCAACACTTGTTAAGTTCTGGTGGCGCTGTAGGATAAGCACTAGACATTGCCACAGGTCAGTGATTCAACCCCCGCAGCAGTTTCAAGGGAAAAAGCTGAGGCTGCCTGCTCCCATAAAGATTTACAGTTGTGGAAACCCAACATGTGAGCCACAGCTGACTTGATGGCACTGGGTTTCATTTTTTCGGTCGGGAGAGCAGAGGTAGGGATATGCGTCTAAGGCTTTTGCTAGGCTTTTATGATACAAAAAGAACCATGGGTGTAACATCATCTTAAAGGATTATATAAAATTTATATAAAATTTCTTTCTGTCCCACTGAATATTTCTTCTTCCGCACATTTGGTCTGACATTACATTGTTATTCTTATATTTAAAAAAAAAATACCATTATATAGCTCTTTATTTTCAACATTTTGTCCATATTTTAGGTATATCTTATGTAAACATGGAGTCCTGGTGTAGCACTGTAGGATAAACACTGGACTGCTAACCATAAGGTCAGGGGTTCAAACCCAACAGCTATTCCTTAGAATCCCTACACAGGGTCAGAACTGACTCAACAGCATTTAACAACAACAGTATGTAAACATACCATACTGTTGTTTCATACAATATATTTTTGCTTTGTAGCAGGAAGAGTTCAGTCTTTTCAAATTTGTCTTGTCTTACTTCTACAATCTTATATTCTATGGATTGTATGTCTTAGCAATTGCCTCACTTCTTCACACATTTTATAGCACTGAAAAGTTTTTCTACTTTTCCCATCCTTTGTAGTCAGCAGTTTAGAATAAATACTGTTTCTCTTCTATTCACAGTTTCCCTATCTTTTCCTAAAGAACAATTCTCCATGCTTCAGCTTTCTTCATAGCTTTTGTTTCTTTCCCACCCTAGAAGAATCTCAATTTGCTTTCTTACATCACTGTGATCTTAAACATCTGCTCTACTGGGATTTAAAAAAACGAGCTGCCATCCTGTCAGCATATACGTCACAGGAGAACTGTGCTCCAGGGTTTCCAGTGGCTGACTTTTTGGAAATACATTACAAGTGAGGTGTCCTGGTGTGGTTCTGCAGGTTAATGAGCTGGACTGTACAGTTGGTTTGAACCACAGGTCGACAGTTCAACTCACCAGCTGCTTCTCAGAAACTCTATACAAGGTTACTATGAGTCGGAACCGATTTGATGGTACTTAACAACAACAACTTAATGCTTTAGGAGTCCTGGTATGGTGCCGTGGGTTGGGTTAATGCACTGGATTCCTAAGCTGGTTTGAACCGCAAGGTTGGTGGTTCAAGCTCACCAGCCACTTCTTGGAAACCTGAATTCAGGGCTATTATAGGTTGGTACTTAACAAAAATACTGATTCAAACTGTAACCCTTATAAATGCCATGTCCTTTATTTCTAAGAACTCCTTTTTCCAAATCACTCTTTGGTACAAACCTACTGCCACTGAGCAGAATTCTGACTCATAGGGACCCTATATAGGACCTCTAAGATGGTAAATCTTTACGGGAACAGAGTCTTATCTTTCTCCTGCAGAGCAGCTGGTGGGTCTGAACTGCCAACTTTGCAATGAGCAGTCCAGGCTATTTCTCTAGAATTTCTCTAAAAATTCTTTCTAGTTTCTTGTATTAAGTGTGCTTCACCGAGGTGAATTTACTTTGCAGGTCCAGATGAGTCTTTCTCTTTAAGACTGAATTAGTCTCATGATTATTTTTAAGACATCCAGACATCTAATCATACTTATGAACGAAGACTTCAGACTGGTAGCTTACAAGGACATGCCTTTAGATGGGGTTGGGCTCCCAGCTGGTATGCCCCCTAACCTCTCAAACAGCAATGCAGGCCCAAATAATTCTGAGTTAACTTTGGCCTGGTGTGATTGAGGAGTTGAGCAGGGACAGGTCGATATGTAGGCTTCCTTCAAAGTGATGGGTAGTCAAGCACAGGATGGCAAATCTTCTCAAGGAAGGAGTAGGGAGCAAGGAAACCTAGGAGCCAGGGCTGGGCTAAGCAGGTTTATTCTTCCTCTCATGTTTGTTGGGACAGAACTACTCCACTTCTCTTTCTCTAGCCCTAAGACCTGCCCCTGGGCAGACCCCTCATTCCATCTAACAGTTTTTCCAACCACTTTCTACACCAAGAGGCCCACTGGCCCAGGAACCAAAAGCCCCCACTAACTCTGCCTACAGCCCTAGGCCCACAGCTTTGCTGCATTAGCCCTGCTGGGAAAATGACCCCAGAAAACTCCTTTGGTCTTTGTTGGGTTCTGGAGGTTCTTTAATTCCAATTTGTTTTTCTCACAGTCCAATGCCATCTACTTCTATAGAAACAATTCATGTTTCCATTGAGAAGCGCTTTCTCTGCACTCCAACAGTTCTAACCTTTGTCCCAGTTTTAATGTTGTGATCACAACGGGGTTTTAGGGAGGTGAAATAAATTTGTGGGGCTAACTTTAATCATCACCTGAACACAAAACCTCTAGGAATAAGTAAATTTTCAATTTCTACCCCAAATCTCTTTTGAATGGGATGAGTTAAGATCTACCACTAGCAGCCCGCTACCCCTGCCATGAGTCTCTACCCATGTAGTACCTGATTTGACAGTACACCTTTAGGTTTAAAAGTAAAAAAGAACAGGGTAGCAGGAGAAGCATTTTCTTTTAAAGGTCAGCAATTTTAAATGAAGTCATATTTGGACTAAATATTTAGATAGTTGCATAAACATATCTAGGTATCCATGTCTATCATAGTAATCAAATGCATTCTTACCTTAGACAGTGGAATGAGAAAATCCAGCTTGTATGAAAGGATGACTCTGGTAAGCAGTACCACAAATACTACATATGCAGAGTTTTCAAAGTCTGTTAATTGAACCTAGACAGGCAGAAGCCACAGGCATTATGGACCGACCACACCTGACCCAGGCTCCTCAGCTTATGCTCTTCCCAAGCCATCTGTTAGTCCTTCCCCACTCTTGAGTCTGCAAGCTCCCTGCCCACAAGCTATTAGCAGAACTCAACCCTACATAGCTTTTGGACTTGCTTTTAACCTGCATGTACTTCATTTTTCCAGCTTCACAATACATTCACAAGCCTTCTGAGAAGAGTATCAGAAGGGTGACAAGCAGAGGATAGATCCCTCTGGGTCAGCTCCAGTTAACACCTGTGTCTTACCTCCATGGGCCGAAATTCTACTCTCCAGCCAATATCAGAGTTTGGCGGAGGAGGCTTAAATCTCATCGTCTGCCAATTTGTGGACTGAATATTCTATAATAAAAAAGTGGAGGGGGAAAAAAATATATCAATTTTCCACAGCTCCAGAAGATATTAAGATAGTTTGGTATTTAATTAGGGAAGACTATTCATATCAAGTACTCTAATTTACAAATACACAAAAGTACAATTTAAGATTTTCCTGGAGTGTGACCTGCCAAGAAAGCAAAACAGGAAGTTTTTAACACTGACATAACGAGTACTGAAATAACGGATTGTATTACTTCGTGCAGCATGTTTGAATTTTTCACCGCTGTGCAAACTAGAGAACACAGGAAACAAAAATATTTAGACTCTGAGGGAAAACCGGTAAGAATCTAAAAGTCATTGTTAATCTTTCTTATTTACTACACTGGGTAGTGAAAGGTATCTAAGGTTCCTCTTGCCATGAGTTCACCACATCTTGGTTTGTAGAGGGAAATGCATTTAAAACAGAGGCAATACCTCAAAATGATCAGACTCATTGGCATCGTCCAGGTGTATTTTCTCTTCAAACAGAGTCAGTGGGTCTCTAATAAAGAGATGAGCAACATGCTGGGCCAGGAGATGGTCAATGCCTGCAAAGACAGATCACATGAGATTTACAGTTCAGAGTGTGAGATACTGAAGTTCTAAAAGCCCAGTAAGAAAACAGGACAGCCCAGGAAGCTTAAGAAACAGCCTGGTTTGCTTAGTAGTCTAACCTCACCCAGGATTTTATCCTATGGACACTGGGGAAGTGTTACAGTTTTATTCGTTACTAACACAGTGCATGTTGGGGCACTGGTGTGGACCTAAATAGAAACCTCCGAAGTAAGTTCCTCTAGCCAAACAAGTCAACCTGACACTTTACCAGCTGCCTCTTAAAAAAAGAGACATCACAATAAAAACAGAAGCCAGACCAGGAGGCAGCAAAGTTGAAATGAGCTTTGAAAACCAAGGCATACAATCAAATCTAGAAAGGAGGATCGGGCACTTACCTTCCCGTAACAGTTGTTCATAGATTTCTTTATCTATCGTCAAGTTGATATCGTTGTATTTCTCACCACACTCAGATAAATAACTGTCTATTGAATCATAACGTGATTTACTAATCCTATAGCTATTGTTCTTCAGTGGCTAAAATTGAAAAAAATAAAGAATAGATGCTATATAAAGTGATCTGGAAATAAACTAATACCTCAAATAACTGTATTAAAATGCTATATATTTTTATATACAATAGTTATGAAAAAATGTCCAACATTAATTTAAGATACTGCTTATACTAGGAAAATAAAAGGCAAGGATGAAAACAAAATAGAAACCTATAATTAAAACAATTCTCAAACTGATTTACCCTTTAAAGTTTATTTCTATTTAGAAAGCACTTTACAATTACATAAAGACCAGAGGAATAATAGTACAGCCCTGGCTGGTGACATAATGTGTACGTGGGGTGGGGTGGGGTGTTAGGAAAGATGGAGGAGCTCCTTTAAAGGCACCTATGTCCAGGTCCTATACCTGGAGATACTCATTTACTAGGTCTAGCTGGTACCTGAGCATCTATTCTTAGAGATGTCCAGAGGTGGTGTGGACACACAACCATGGATGGAGACCAACATATAAGCAATGAGAAGCAAAACCTAACCCTCTTTATATGGGCTTATTGTACAGTGAGGCTTATTGTACAATAAGGCAAACAATACGTAATATTTTCTATAGTAAAAAGCATCATATACAAAGCACTCAGCACCTAAAAAGCCTTTTGGTAACAACAGCCACCAGCAATATTTCCAAAATATAAAAAGACTGCAGAACAAGCATAGCTTTTAACAAGTGATAAGAAGTAACTCATCACCCCAGACCACATCACATTTCTCATTGATTCACACCAGAACAAACACTACACCAAGCCAAAGATCACAGACAAAAACAGGTTCGTAATTTCTTAGCATGTTTCCATTTGATGAAAATTTAAAGGTGACTTCAAGTAGTTACAATAACCCCATATTACCTGCTGGATTTAGGAAAGCTTATTAAAGAGAAATCCTCCCACCTCCAGGCCTCTCTCCTCCCGAGTACGATCATCCACAGAGGCAGAGATCACTCCCCAGCGGCAATCGATGTCTGACACGTAGCCTCGGTAGAAAGGAGAGGCAGCACTCAGAGCCATCTGAAAACAAACAAGAGTCAGTGTCTGCAGGCATGGGGGTTGTTTACATGCTGACCATAAGCTCCTCTCCGTTAACTTGCTTATCAAAAAGATCAGAGTTTATGAAGCAGCATAGTGGTTACGAGTCCGGCTGCTAACCTCAAGGTCAACAGTTTGAAACTAACAGTCCTTCCGTACAAGGAAGATGAGGCTTTCTGCTGCTGTAAAGATTTTCAGCCTCGGAAATCCTATGCAGGGGTGCTATGAGTCAGAAGGGACTCCAGGGTACACTACCTTACAGTACATCTGCTAGTGGTGCCCACATTTGCATAGTGTGATACAGGAAAAACTTCCCAAATGCTTTGATTTACCCAGATCATAGCTGTAATTTGAGGACATGGAGGGTATGTTACAGAAAAACAACCAAATTCAAATTGGACATTTCATACGTTTTTTACTAGCAATGCAAAACTTCTCTGGAGTACACTTTTACTTCAGTAGCTCTGAATCTGCATACTATTTATGCTAGTTCATCTCCAATGATGTCTTAACCAAATATATACATCACTTAGTCAAGTGAATTTTTGCATATGCAATGTTCATTTTATACTAAGAAGTATTTGTAGTAACATGTAATTTCTACTTACAACAATTGGACAGATTGTGGCCAACTGATCATAAAGGTACCTGGCCTCAGATATGCTGCAGGCTTGGAATGTCACCTGTTTAAGAACAGTACATGATTAATAACCACAACAAAATCATTAGCATCCTCCCTAAGCAGTGAAGCCTGAGAAGGAAGACTGAGAAGGCAGATAGAAGAGAAGGGGAACATGGTATGTATGGTGATTTTTCTTAATAACATTTTATACAAGAACCTTGTTTAAAAACTGTCATGTGGGAACCCTTCTAGAAAATGATATTTAATCATATCTCAATATACACAGACAACTAATATAAATAACGATTCCTATCTGAGTTAAACAAGACTGAGAAGTCATGAAAGAAAATTAAGAAACAAGATGAATTTCAGTGAGATCTTTCTTCCACCGGCTTATTGTACAGCCTCCAAAAGGGTTATGTAGATTTTGGTATTGGAGATGCTAATGCTGGACTTCAGAAAGTTCATCGATGACAGTATAGGGAATAGCATTAAAGGGATGATAACATGGGAGGAATGAAAATGTTAAATACAGTTGGGGGGAAGACACATCTGGAATCAAAGCAACAAGCTTCTGTGACCAGCAAGATACAGGCAGTGAAGGGACGAGTCATGTTTGAGCTAGGTGCCATGTCATGTTGGGCTTATAAAACCAGGCAACAGAGAACAAGTCCAGAAAGAGGTTGAGTCTCCAGAACTGGTGCCCAAAAGAAATATTAGAGCTGGAAAATACTCAGGGATGCGCTCTACTAAGAAGCAAGTGCTTCTTGGTGGTAGGAGTGGGTAGAGGCAGGGGGCGGGAGAGGGGGAGCTACACTAGGAGTTGGGCAGAGCAGAGACAATGATCACCTAAGTGAACGGAACAAACTCCAAAGCTATGGCCTCAAAGACACAAATACACAATGACACAAAGCCTGACGTTTAGAGGAATGGGGAAAGGGGAAGCACACAAATGGTGGTAGCATGCTTGTAATATAAACTTTAAATTGCAAAGTTTTTATCTTTTTATCGGTATTCCACCATGACGATTTGAAGTGTTGGTGCAAGAAAAAATTTAAATGTTTTTTAGAGAACTGAAATAATAGCATTTGAATATGTTTACTGGTACGATTGTAATCTGTTAGTTCCAATAGTTTTAAATCGATCTCAACTTTGCTTAACAGCAGAAAATCCCTACTGAAGACTTACAAGTTTACCTGCTAAATTATAATGGCATAAAAAGTGCCAACTGTAAAAAAACAATTATTTTTTCAACAATTGAATATCCTGATCTTGCCATTAATTTCTATTTTAATATTTAAGTCAGGATGGTGTTTAAATGTAAGGACAATTGAGCCATTAGGAATTAATTCAGCCTGGAGAAGAGCTGTGTCCTAAACATCAAGGGAAAAGAGCTTCAAAGGTTAAAACTGATAAAGATTGAGAGGAATTGGCAATTAGGTGATAAGGCACTTTCTGCAAAATCATGGGGAACTCAAAAATCAGTTTGTGGATGGTTAAGGATTAAATGGGAAGGGGTAAAATGAACATGGTAAGCAAAGCATTTAAAACGTATGTACTGTGGGACCTCCATGGGAGGAGGGATTGAGCTTGCCATTTTCAATCTTGAGTGCCCAGAATGGTGTCTGACATCTAGTTGATGTTTAACAAATATTTATGAAATGAATAAGAATTCTTTCTTGGAAGAAAGGAATGTGCTACACAAAACACAGAGGCAAGGAAAATGTTTGCATTTATTAAGGTGTGAGATAGTAGACAGATTGTGACCCTACAGGCCAAATTTACATGGGATGGGGTTGTTTTAGTTGCTGTCAAGCAGATTCCAGGTCACAGCAAGGCCCTGTGTGCAGAGTAGCACTGCTCCATAGGGTTTTCCAGGCTCTGATCATCCAGAAGCAGACTGCCAGGCTTATCTTCAGAAGTACCTCAGGGTGGGTTCAAACTGTCAACCTTTTGGCTGGCAGCCAAGTGCTTAACTGTTTCCACTACCCAAGGTGAAATTAGAAATATCTAAATGTTCCCCAAATGTTCACTAATGCATTTCTTAGTTTACTTACATCCTTTCGTATTATTTTTGTTTTTAAAAAGCTACTGTAATTAACATTTTTTTCTCTTAGATGGCCTGGAATATACTAGACCATTCACAAGCTAATCTTGGAAAAGCCAAAGCTAGAGAAGCACATTAAGGAAATGAGTAACTATCCTTCAGTACCAAGGGTGAACAAAAGTAAAGTGTTCACATACTCAGTAACTAGCTTCTTAACTCTAAAGTGGACATTGGTTTTGCTCTTGTTAGGTGCTGTTGAGTCAGTTCTGACTCATACCAACCGTATGTACAACAGAACAAAACACCTGTACCATCTTCACAATCATTGCTATGCTTGAACCCATTACTGCAGCCACTATGTCATTCCATCTCATTGGGGGGGGAGGTCTTCCTCTTTTTCATGGACCTTCTACTTTATCAAGTGAGATCTTTCTAAGAGACTGGTCCCTTCTGATAACAATGTCCAAAGTACATAAGACAAAGTTTTGCCATCCTTCCTTCTACAGAGAATTCTCGTTATACTTCATCTAAGACAGATTTGTTTATTCTTCTGGCTGGCCAAGGTACTTTCATTTTTGAAAGCACCTTGTCCTAATTCAATTGCATCAATTTTTCTTTGATCTTGCTTACTCAATGTGGTGCTGTAGGATAAGCACTGGACAGCTAACCATAAGGTTAGCAGTTCAAACCCATGAGCTGCTCCTCAGAAACCCTATACAGAGCTACTATGAACTGACCTGAGGGCACATACAATTTCCTTATTTCATTGTCCAGCTTTCACATGCATACGAAACAATTAAAATACCATGGTTTGGGTCAGGTGCACCTTAGTCCTCAAAGCGACATCTTTGCTTTTTAACATTTTATAAAGGCTGTTTGCAGCAGATTTGCTCAATGCAGTACATCATTTGATGTAGAGCGATGATTGCAGATCAAGTAAAAAGAAATGCTTGGCAATGTCAATCTTTTCTCTGCTTAGCATGATGTTGTTTTTGGTCCAGTTATAAGGAATTTTGTTTTCTTTACACTGAGTAGCATAGTGGTTATGAGTTGGGCTGTTAACCTCAAGGTCAGCAAATGGAAACTACCAGCCATTCTGTGGGAGAAAGATGAGGTTTTCTGTTCCCGTTAAGATTTAAATTCTTGGAAACTCTATACAGAGTCACTATGAGTCGGAACTGACTCCACGGCACATAACCACCACCATCATGTTGAGCTGTAATCTATACTGAAAGCTGTATTCTTTGATTTTCACCAGCAAATGCTTCAAGTCCTCTTTGTTTTTATCAAGTAAGTCTGTTACCTACATTTGCACATTGTTAATGAGGTTTCCTCTAATCCTGATGCCGTGCTCTTCTTTATATAATCCAGCTTCTCAGATTATTTGCTCAGCATACAGACTGAGTAAGTATGGTGAAAGGAAAAAACCTTGTACACACCTTCCTTGATTCTAAACTATGCAGATATTCCAAAAACAAAACCAAACTCACTGCCATCAAGTCAAATAGAACGTCACTACAGACAACGGCTTTGCTACTGCTGCTGTTGCTAAGTACCGATGAGTCGGTTCCCAGTATAAGGTTTCCAGGAAATGATTGGTGAGTCTGAACCACCTACCTTGTGGTTCAAACTGACCTTGCCGTCCAGTGCTTATCCTACAGCACCACACCAGGGGTCCATGACAGCTTTGTTTCTGTTGTTGTTAAGTGCTGTCAAATTTGTTCTGATTATAGCAACCCTGTGTAGGGTTTCCAAGGAGTCGCTGGTGAGTTTGAACTGCCATCTTAAGGTTCAAACTGACCTTGCGGTCCAGTGCTTTATCTCACAGTGCCACACCAGGACTCCATAAAAGCTTTGGAGGGTGGGGAGATTTCCTATACCTTAAAAAGATATGAACACATGAACAATTTTAGCTTCTTTTTACAGCATAGGAAAAGAAGCAGTGCCATGAGGAAAGTGATGAGGGAAAAAAAAAAGACAAACTATGAAAGTCAGATGTTAGAAACTTGTAATTCAAAATTTTCCTAGAACCCAGTTTTAAAGGTACATGATTTTCTTAGGGAAAAAAACCTAACATAATATGTGATGAATTTACTGCTTATTAAATGAATCCTGAAATGCCCCAAAACAGTCAAGAATATGGCTCTTTTATGCTTTTTACTTTGTCTACATTAAACCTAAAAAAATTACTTTAAAATTATTTTTTCAGCATTACTTAGAAGACACAACATAGGGATTTCTATGGTGATTTATAGAATTCACTTCATTTGCCACACATTTTCCATTATCTGTGTTAATGATATTTTAGAATACTGAAACTAGAGTACTACAAACAATAAAAACATCTATGTTGTTGTTGTTGTTAAGTGCCGAGTCAGTTCCAACCCATAGGGACCCCGTGTAGGGTTTCCAAGGAGCAGCTGGTGAGCTTGAACCGCTGGCCTTTTGGTTCAAACAACTTTGCGGTCTGGTGCATTAACCCACAGCACCACACCAGAACTCTAAAACTATCTATGCCCATCATTAAAACACATTTGTTATAAAATACACGAAAATCAGACCTGATGGGAACTCTGTTAGAGTAGCTGGGCTGTCCCTAGCAGAGCACTCTAGCTTAATATTAAACCAAATAAAGGCATAAAGTTCTCTAATAGCATGGATATACTTGAAAGTCATGCACTGTAAAGTTCTAGAGCGCATGGTCCTGCTTGACATATCTGTAATTAAGACAGGAAAGCAGATACATAGTTGAAAGTCAAAAGGTCTTTTTTATGAAGCATGACCATTTGGAAGGGTATTTATGTTTCTTTGGAAGACACTTATTTTATATAACATATGTCAAAAGTCATGAAAATCAGGAAAAAAACTGTATCCATGGTCATGTTATTTAAACATATTCACTGTAGAAAAAACTGGTTCTGGTAATCAATTTTGGTTACAGTCATATACCACGTGATGCCTGTGTGGGCAGTGTCAAACTGCATTTATGTCCATGGTCCCATATGATTATAATGCTGTTGTTGTTACATGCCATTGAGTCGGTTCTGACTTACAGTGACCCTATATAGGGTTTCCAAGGAGTGGCTAGTGAGTTTGAACTGCTGACTTTACAGCTCAAACTGACTTTGCTGCCCAGCGCATTACCCTGCAGCACTACACCAGGACTCCTGGGTTATAATCGTGTTCAGAAATCCCAGAGAATGGAATGCAGTGGACACAACACCTCCTGCACGCAACCCATGCATCTCATCTCTTATGTACAAATCAACTGTACCGCCAGGTAGATAACGGTACACTACATATACAAGAAAGCTTAAAAATGTTCATGGAAAATAGTGTTAGAACACAATGGAATTTTTCCATGAACTTTTTGAAGTTCCCTTTTATAACCCATAATACATACGTCTTGACAGTCAAACTAAATGCCTGTTACTGGCTTGTGTATGTCCTATGTCACACTTTTTATGTAAAATGTTTACTATAACATGTTTAACAGATTACAGTGTATGCTTCAACTTGTAGATAGTGGCATATAGTCACATGTATCATGAGTCTCAAGAGTTACAGTATTCTCTCTCTGTTTGATTTCCTTTTGATAATAGTACTATGCAGTATACCCTGGCTCCCGAAATCAGCAGAACCAGTGCAAGTGAGAGTAGCAGCAAGAGGCAAAAAAGTGTCATTTGGAAATGAAACAAATGGTTATTAAACAAAAGGAACGTGGAAAATTAGTGGACGCTATTACTTGGTTTAGGCAAGTAGCACTAGAAAATCATGACCCTCAAAAACAAAGAAGACATTCTCCAAGCTATCAAAGCCAGGAGGCTAACGAAAAATGAGAGAGGCCTGTAACTGATATGGAGAAACTGTTGATGACGTGGGTTGAGGACCAAACACAAAAGTGAATTCCTCTCAGCTAGTTGATGGTCACTACTGAGGCATGGAGTTTGTTTGAGCTGCTTAAAGAGAAAGCAAGATCAGACTATGATATGGTGTTTGAGCAGTGTTCAAATCATAAAACATTCTACTTCACAGACTGCATCATGGATGTTAAGTGGCACATGACTGCACAGTTTTGAAAACCAATAGAGCCAAGATGTATGTGCAAGAAGGTGTGCTATTTGTTGTAGCAGTTTGAAGATAGGAATGCTGGGTAGGCCAGGCTCTGTGAGGCACTGCTTCTAATCATCTGATTTATTAAAACTGAATGAACATCTCCTTGGGCAATAACAAGTTGCTTTCTTTCTTTCTTTCTTTTTGCCAAGTTTCTTTTCAGTTTTTCAATTTCATTTACCCTTGCATAAACATGTAATATCTTATTCAATTCCTTCTACTCCTGCTTCTAACATGATTTTAATAATCAAATTAAGGGTGAAAACAAAAACAAGTAGTTCTGTTAATACGAGCAATGAAATAAACATTAGCTTAGACTCGGACCTAGAAGAGACTTTTAATATAAACCATTCTTTTAATTAATGGGAAAAATGAGGTCAAGTGAAGTGAGGGGAGTTCCCCAAATACCTGAGTCAAAACAAAGTGACAGAGAACCCAAGTCAGAATGCAGGCTGTGCCCTGTCTGATGGGCTCTGTGCCCTCCCATTCAGGTCCGAAGTGAACTTGGGTACAATCACTGCCCAAGGCCAGCTGGCTCAGAGACACCAGTAATTTAATCAGGTGAAGGAAAAGTGTAAACATGTAATCAGAAAAAAAAGCCATTCTACCTTCTGTGTAACCTAGCCAGGGGTAAGGCAAACATGTGCTGGTATTTATTTTTTTGTTTCACTAGATGGCCTTGCATGACTGTAAAAGTTTAAAGTCCAAACAATCCTTCCCTTGGATCACAAAATCATTGGAGTACATCCATCAGAGCTCATTTCCAGAAATAATAAGAAATTTGAGTGATGGTTACAACTTCAAAGCAGCAAAACGTAGGCACGCAGAAAAGAGAAGAGAGAAACCTTAGAATGAATATCACACGTTTGAAGTCAACAGAAACTTTTCTGGTGAACTGTAGACTCTGTAAAACTCTTAGTCAAGAGATAGCTCCCAACAAACTTACCACAATACCTTTACTGATCTTTAGAAAGGCATACCAGCTACCATTTTCAATCTGATTGAAATGTGATTTCTATATAGGGAACATTTATATAGTAAAGAGAAGTTCCCAAATGGAAACAGGTAAGGACATATGTCTTGTATATTTGAAACAATACCTGAAGACAGCAATTGCCCATCCCAAATCCCATGGCATCCATATAGATATGGTCAGGCTTAGAAGCCCTTGCTGCCTCCTCATCCTCAGGAAATGCTTCAATAAATGGAGATGGTGTATGCTTGTCCTTAAATACTGTATAATTTTCAAGGGAAAAAAAAAGTAAATGGTTAAGAGTCAAGGATTACACAACTCAACAAGAATCTATCCCACTCCACCTTCTTACTGTGGACTTACTTGGTACATTGATGACAACCTTTTCTCCTCTCCTGTGTCGGATATTTCTTGTTAGGGTACTAGAACAGATAACCAAATGTCATAAACTGGTCACTTAACAACCATCACGTCAAAGGAATATTTAATCAGATACAATTAACTTGACTATAACTCAATTACCTCTAACTAATTTCCTAAGACAACCCTACAGAAAAGATATACCCATCAAGATAATCCAAGGGAACTCTAAAAGAAAGCATTCCATTAATACCACTTCCTTGACTCTAGCTTGATATCATTTTCTCCTCTGCTCAAACCCTGCTGACCTACTGAGTGAAGTTCAGAAGTTCACAGTCTGTCATGGCTTCACTCCATGTTTCTAACACTTCACAAGTTAACTCCAAAGACTTCAAATTTTGGCATACTCTCTCCCAGCATTGTTGGGACCACAATGCCTTGTTCCTCCCTCCCCAAACCTTCCACAGTGACGCTTACCCTCTAGACCTCTACCTTCTTTACTGTCCAGTACACACGCTACTACTAGCCACGTTGTGACCATAAAGCACTCAACACGTGCTTATTCTAATTAAAATTTGCTCTGAGTATAAAATACACACTAGATTTTCAAAACTTCTTATTTATAACTTCAAAATATTAATCACATGTTGAAACAATAATATTTTGGCCATATTGAGCTCAATAAAATACAAGGGAAGACTTCAGAAAGTTCATGAAAAAATTGAATTAAAAGATAATGGAATTTTTCAATGAACTTTTGAAGCCCCCTGTAAGTTCTCTTGCTTTTTACCTTTTTTTTTTCCTTTTTTTTTTTTTTTTTTTTTTTTAACGTGGTTATTAGAAAATTAAAAATTCTATCTGTGGTTTGCTTTCTGCTTCCAATGGACTGTGATCCTCTGGACTCAGCTTCAATGCCACTTGTCTCATGAAGCCTGCTGGGTGGGCCCCCTTAGTCAGAAACAGCCTCTTCTCTCTGCACAAGGGGAGTTGCTGATGCTACCATCTTTTGACTCTCAGCTTAATGGATCTTTTCTTGCAGCTGTTCGCACACTACATCATTTAAACTTGGGAATTTGTCTTCCCTCAATGACTCTGCACATTGCAGGCATGCATATAAACTAAAGGAGTCAGCACTGAGAAGAGTCAAAGTCCCTAACCTATAGGTCAGGAGCCTAGGTTTAGGATGAAAGCTGAGCCTCCAAGGTACAAAGTTAAGGCCCTGAAGCAACTTAAAACCTAAGCATTAAACTAAAACCTAAGCATTAAACTACCAACCAACAAACCTAGAAGTTAATAGAAGGTACTGAGTGCGTACCATATATCAGGTGCTAGACATATTTTATCTTATTACCAAGGAGTCCTGGTGTGGCGTTGTAGGATAAGCACTTGACCATAAAGTCCTTAAAGTGAGTTTGAACCAGCAAGGTGGCTGGTTCAAACTCACTAGCCGCTCCTCGGAAACCTTACAGGTCACTGTGAGTCAGAACTGACTCAATGGTACTTACCAACAACAACAACAACATCAAGGTATATAGAATGTGACAAGTATATTAGAAACCATATTCAGGGTCTCTATGAGTCAGAACCGACTCAATACTTAACAGCAGCAACAGAATGGTGACTTAGAGAAGGGAAAAAATAAGGCAGGAATAACTTAAGAGAAATCTTGCCCATACAGACACATACAAAACCAAGACCAAAAAGAATCTGCTCATTGAAGGACAGGACGCTGTCCAAGCTACTGGGTCTTGAATGACTTGGAATGGACAAGTTAAGTCTGATGGAAGAAGCAGTAATCAGAGTCTTGGGACACTGAGGCATGGGCAAGTATCTGTCTGCTATCTTCTCTAACTAATTAGGAAAGAAGCCAGGATGCAGTAAATACTCAAAAAAGGATTCTTGGACAGGAAGGCAAGCATCTAAGTGAAGGGCATCTACATCTAAACACAACACCATACTTACCCAAAGCGTGGGTGCTTGTTAATGGCTTCATCTGGAAAGAAGAGGGATTTGGAAGCTCCTCCTTCGACGGGGTTGGGTTTATACTCAGGCAGCGTGAACCCAGGACAGCCTAATCTACAACAAATTGCAGAGCTAAGTAGGTGGGATTTGTCTTCACGATTGTGTCTCACCATTGCTGCACCTGTTAAAACACTTCATTTCTATCGCTTCCCTTCTTAGAAGATATAAAACATGAATGTCTTGTGCATACTGCACCCCTTTACAACCTTGCACCTTTGATATCTTGCTCACCAAGACATTCTTTTTTGATTTAAGCCCTTTATTGACTTTTTATAAAAGTCCTATTCACTCAGTTATCTACTGGCACTTAATACTACATCCCCTCATCTGTTCAACACTGAGGTTACTTCCCTTGGTCACAACACCTATCTGAGGTGATTGGTTTCCCTCTACACAATTTAATGAGTTCTCCTCTTTATGACCTCTAAATTCTCAGATTACCTTTGACCCCTGTATACCATCCCCAGTATCCCTAACTCCTGATAAACTTTATTAGGATCTGTAAACAATTAAAGTTTATTTCTGCAGATCAACTCATGAAACCCCTCAAGATTAAGTTCTGTCTCTTCTGGTGAAGTTTGAAACCCAACTCTTTAAAGCAACTTGGCCTAAAGAAGAACTTTAATTCCAACACAGAAAAATGAAGCACCATATTTACGCCTTAAAAGCTCAAATTCCAGATCACTTGCAAAGATGCCATCAGTCCTTCCACATTAACACTGTTAAGTGCGCTGTGAGAACACACATATACACACAAACTCAGTGAAAGCAAAGCAAGGGAGGCTCTCATCAGGATTTTAGATGGATGGCTTCAAGGACAAGATTAGCCCATACTTTATTTTCAACCCTACCTTTTATAAAATAAAGTACTTGTTGGCAGCCCACATTGCTTTGTGATAACAACTATTTTTGCTAATTTTATCTGGGAAGCAATGCCCAGATATAATAAGATTCCTGAGAATTTTTTAAAGACATTTTCTTGTGAATTGGGTGAAGGTTTACCGAGCACCAGTTTTCCATATAAATTATACACACTTCGTTCATGTCCCTAATAGCAATCCCCACAATGTAACGTCACTTATCCCACATCTCTATGTTTAGTTTCCATTCCTCCTTCTTTCCTAACCTTCCTGAATTCTGTTCTTGGGTAAATGCTGCCCTTTTGATCTCAATGGCTGTGTATTTTAAGGTGTGCACACTTCCCTAGTGTTACTGTTCTCTTCATATGTTTTCAGAGCTGAAGGGTATTGAAGGCCACAGTCTCTGAAATCCCATCAATCTCTATCTGACTCTATCCAGAACCTCCTAGTGTGATCCATTTCATCAGAGCAGTTGGCAGTGGTAGCCAGACAATAGCATCTAGTTCTCCTGGTGTCTTGATTTTCTTCACTTTTCTTCAACAGGGAAAAACCAATAGCTGCACCAAAGTCACTACTCAGCAAAGTACTATGTAGAACATTGTCTTTGTGGACTGTTTTATGCCAACTGCCTATGGTGTCCCCAGAGAACAAGGTCCTGAGCCCTCAGGCCCCATGACTCAGTCTCTCAAGGAAGTTCCTGAGAATTAGTGCAGTTAGCAATCTCAATAAAAGCTATTAAGGAGACTGCCAAACTTAAATATGGGGGAGTGCTAGCTAACAGAATCAAGTGAGGATGGGTTTGTTCCACAGAGAGAAGAGACTCCTAGAGCACTGCTTTTTTAAAGGAGTGCTCTCCAGCAGAACTTCCTGCTCTGAAGGAGATGTTTATCTGCACTGTCCAGTACTAAAACAGTGGCCTCTAGCCAAATGTGCTACTGAGTCCTTGAAATGGAGCTAGTGTGGTGAGAAACTGCATTTTCAATTTTATGTACAGCATTCCAATTAATTTAAACAAGACAGGTGCCTGCTATTGTTTTGAGACAATAGATTTAAGACAATGAGTATTTTTTACAGAGGGTAAACAATATCACACTGTTTTATACACTTATCCCAGAGTACTCCTTCCCCTCTTGAACCCATAATAAAACTTTATTATTTACTATGAGGGAGAGGGAAGCTTCCTCAACTAAATAACTAATAATGATTCTTGTTCTATATTAAGACCAAAAATACCCTCCCCATCCATTAAAATACATGGCTAAGTTTTGGGGGGTTTTTCAACTTTGATTTTTAGAGCAAAACTTACTTTCTTTTTCACTTCTCCCTTCATAATGTCTTAATAAAAAGCAGCATGGTTACGAATCGGGCTGCGAACCTTAAGGTCAGCGGTTCGAAACTACCAACCGCTCCGCGGGAGAAAGATGAGGCTTTCTACTCCTGTAAAGATTTACACCCTCGGAAACCCTGTACAGGGTCGCTATGGGTCGGAACCGACTCGACGGCACTTAACAACAACAACAACAAGCCTTTAAAGAAAGGCAACTATTTCTTATGGAGCTGTTCTCACTTAAGGTTAAAAAAACATTTGCTGTTGAGTCAGCTTCAACTTATGATGACCCCACAAGTCAGAGAGAACCGTGTTCCATAGGGTTTTTCAGAAGCAGAACATCACGACTGTCTTACAAGGTACCTTCGAGAGATACATTATTGTATTAATGATAGTTAAGTTGACCTTTGACTTATACACAGAACCTAGGCATAATGAACAGCTGAGCATCAGACCACTGTAATCTCTAGGGTTTTCACTGGCTGCTTTTCAGAACCAGGCCTTTCTTCCTAGTCTCTCTTAGTCTGCATGCTTCACTGAAACCTTTTCATTATCAAGGAAACATACACACCACTACTAACAGACGGGCGGTGGTTGTGCATGAGGGACACTGGCTGGGAACTGAATCTGGGTCTCCTGTCTGGAAGGCAAGAATTCTACCCCTCCACCATCAATGCCATCAGGAGACACAATAGGTTTCACTAAATACTTCCCTTTGTGGAGGTGGGGACAGAAAAGGGGTAGCTGGAACAAATGGAACAAGGAAATCACAGAATATGAGAGACACTTCTGGAGACACTGACAATGACTGTCTTTTCTCACAGCACACACCTATGTAAATAACAAGTACTCACATACAGCACACACAGCACAGATGGGAAACGAATGCATGAGGAAGCTGCACAGTCCACACAAATCATGTAAATAAAGATATAGTAGCTTAAATATGGTCTCAACTATTTAGGTGGTTTAATGGTGATTAGCAAAAACAGAAGTTTCATTAAGTATTCCACTCTAAGACCAATACTATACTTTGGAATGCCAATGTTAATTACAGACATTTATTAGAAGTGGGAGGAAGGCATAAAAACTGTCCCAAATAAATAAATAACCAACAGTTCAAAGTGTTCTAGGCCACTGATACAACCCTGGCGTTCTTCTGAACTCCAAAGAGGTAAGCACCCAGATCTGATAAATATCTAGTAGAGATAAACCAGATTTACAATTGGCAACACTGCATTTTTACCTAGAGTTCAGTTTTAGGTACAATACCAATGATATTTGCACAGCTCATTCTAAGCTAAGAATATAACTTCACCATACTTACCTTTTATGTAATTTCCATTTTAAATAGATTTAATAACATTATCTCTATTTCTATATCTTTTTAGCACAAATTAAATGCCCACTGCCATTGAGTCAATTTCAACTCACAGTTACCCTATATAGGGGTTCTGAGACTATAAATCTTAACAGAAGCAGACAGACTCATCTTTTCCCCATGAAGCAGCTGTTGGTTTGAACTGCTGACCTTGAGGTTAGCTGCCCAACACCTACCCCACAGCGCCATGACATCCATCTTGTCTGTAAGGTAATAGTATCAATAATATGTTGGAACTACTCATATCAGCTCTTTAATGGATGAGCCTCTGACAAAACACCATTGGGCATGGGCTCCTATGGACAGTGTGAGAGGGAGAAATCTCCTCAGTGAGGGGAGCACATGAAGATCTTCAGAGACTCAGCCACTCCTTACAGAACCAGAAATGCTTGCAGCAACCACTGCTGGTCCACCACTACGCTCTTTCCTATGAGGTTAAGTAAGAGCTCTCACCACAGTGCTCGGGGTAGCCATCACCCACCTACTGAAGCTGGTATGGAATTTTTGCCTGCAAGCCAGGGAGAGTGTTTTAGATGCTATCACATGCCACATGGAAAGTATGAACTGTTTGTAAAGTATGATGATTGCAGGGTGAAGTGCTTGGGTCACCACGGTCTCTCTTTGTAAACTATAGCTCTGAAATGTCTGCTGGGGCCTTTGATTATAGGAACTAACCTGGGAAATGATGTTATAGTGCAGAGAGCCTGGTTTTCTTCTAATACAGAAGTAGCCTCCTTCCGACGTTTTCGCATATTGTCCTCCACTGTGTTGAATTCGGACATGGTTCCTCCATATGGCTGTCCAGGTGTTCCCTCAATCATGTAACTCCCATACTCTGGTCTCCAAAGGGTAGGATGGCTACAGAAGAGAACAGTTTAGTTTCATCTGATTCTTCTGCAACTGTCTACTCAATTTTTGTAAGTGTTTAAGAAGTTGTTTAATATATTCAGAAATCATTAGGTAAAAATTAACCTTCCCAAAGGCTGATTTCCCACAGCTCTTCAACTATACAAGACTGAGAAAGTACTGGGTCAGAAATACTTGTATATAACCACCCAAGACAAGTCAATCCACTTTGCAGGAAAGGAAATGGGATTTTCAGTTCAATGTTAGGGGGTCCAAATTGAAACAGAGCTCCTCAGAATCTTGTGAATGGCCAAACCTGCGGGAAATGAGCAGGAGACCGCATGCCCCTCCTCCTCTGACTGATTAAATGAAGAAACATTTTTAAATGTGGCAGCCAAACAAAACTCACTTGCAAGCTTTATCTGGCACCAGGGTGTGTGATCCCCATAATTTGGTAATTTTAAAAAGTGCTTAAGAATAGCAAATAAGGCTTATATGGAGTTTAGTGATGTTGTTAAGTACCATCGAGTTGGTTCTGACTCAGTGCAACTCTGTATAAGGTTTCTAAGGAGCAGCTGGTGGGTTTCAAGCCCAGTGCTGATCTTACAGCATCACACTAGGACTTTGAGCTTACTGTCACTACCCCTATTTTACAAATGAGGAAACTGCAGCACAGTTTCCAAGTAATTTGCCCAAAGTTACCCAGCTATACACAGAGGAGGAATCAAGATTTGAACCCAGGCACCTTGAAACCACAGCTTGTATTCTTAACTGCTGTACTGCTCTGCCTCCTATAATTTGAGAAAAGATTCCATTTTAATAATTCTAACAGTTGCAAAAACACTGAAACAACCATCAGTACACTGGCTTACTTTGGGTTTGTCCTTTCCCCCTTTTGTTGTAGAGTTTCAAGAACGTCCTCTCCAGACAGAACCAACCGGACTTTTTTATGTTCATGATCAAAAGATACCAATATGTACTCCACCTAGTGAAAATAAAGAAGAGAGAGAGATTAACATTCTCCCAGACTCATACTTGGCAGGACCTTTAAAAGAAAGACAAGGAAATGGGACGGTTGGAAAGGATCCATGGGTAACTCAAGACAGCTACATTTGCTTACACTTAGGTACACAACTGCTTGTTTGCATAATATGAAAAGCTGTAGAAGACGGTCAGTCAATAGTGGCATTGCTTGAGGACAAAGACGCTTATTGAACTCCTTTCTCCTATTCTACTAATAACCAAAACCAAACCACAGCCGTCAAGACAATTCAGACTCACAGCAACCTTACAGGGCAGAGCAGGACTGCTTGATAGGGTTTCCTATTTTTTACATTTTTTACACAAGCAGACTGCCGCATCTTTCTCCATGGAGTGACTGGTGGGTGCCAACAGTCAGTCTCACGGTTGCCAGCTGAGCACTTTAACCCCTGTGCCACTAAGCCTCAGATTTTACTTAATATCTCATAGGAACGACAAGATGGCCATTTTGAACATTTCCTCAAAAGAGAAGTTTGCAAAGCAAAGCAAAGCTCCAAAATGAATTTACAATTTAAAATTATTCCCTCCAATGGCTTTGTACACTTATAGGAAAGTGGTTATCTACGCATTCTAGTCAAGGTAGATTATCTTACTACTGATCCCACTAAAGTTAGACCATAATCATTATCACAAAAATGGGAAGTTATCTTACATTTTAACAGTTCAGTTTTGGTTTACAAGAATAAAAGCCAATTTCCACTGAAACCACAGAATTTACAATGCTGGCCATACTAGTGAATGTATGTTTAACCAGAGTGGATGGAATTCTGGTGAAAATCAAGAGTTCAATAGCAAAGTAAGACTTTTCTGAACAGGGTACAGCTAGAAATTGCATGTTTTAAATTGCGATGATGGTATTGTTAGCTGCCTTCACGTTAACCCAACTCATGGTGGGTTTCACGTACAACAGAATAAACATGGCCCAGTTCAGCGCCATCCCCAAGATCAGTTGCGAATAAGACAATTGTGATCTACAAGGTTCTCACTGGCTGATTTCAGAAGTAGACTGGTCAGGCCTTTCTTCCTAGTCTTAATCTGGATGCTCCAACGAAACCCATTTTTACCCTTCACAGCATTACAGCAGCAGGCAGCCTCTACTGACAGGTAGATGGTGGTAGCACATGTGGTGTACTGGCTGGGGATCGAACCTCACAGACAGCAAGAGCGATACCAATGCCTCGTAAATGACGATTATGGGGTAAATATGAAGATTAAGAATTATTATCTTTGATTGAAGTAAAATTACATCATTCATATGTAGGTGGAAAAGTATGGAATTGGATTATTCCAGCAAACACTTGATAGAATCCTTTGCACAAGTTACCAAGATAGTAATGTGGAGAAGAGACAGCAAACTGCCCCTCCCACGCAGACCCCTCCCCCACCATACAAATCAAGTAACAGTATAATATTTCCGGGACATTTCCCATGGAAATCCAGATTCCTAGACGGACTCCACGGCACACAACAACAAGCCTTAAAAACTAACAACAAAACAAAACAAACTAGTTCCCAGAAGTCCAGCAGCATAAGGCCTATGTCCTAGGGGGTGGGGGAGTGCTCCCTCTCCTTGAAGGCTGTGTGTGCTCTGGCCTACAGTCCCTCTACACTCACCCCAGATCTACACAACTGCTGTCATTTACTGTTATGTACTTTGGCCTTACTTGCATGGCTAGGGAATGCATTTAGGCCAGCCACTGTTATCACAGAATATATGTCTGAGATACTGTTTTTACCCTTCAGCTAAGAAACAGAATTATAAAGGTGGAGGGGAGTGGGGGGAACAGTTACCAACCAAAGGAAATACTCTGGCAGGTTTGAACAGCAATATAAAAAATAAACTTTCAATGAAGTTTGAAGTTATCTTATGGTTGACGCCCAGTTCCCAGTCTTGCTTTTCTATGAAAATTTTTTACTTCAAGAAATGGTTAAGGCTGACTGACTTAGACGCATGAATTAGAAATGTGCAGTTGGCACATGTGCAGTCAGTATCAGCTGATCCAAAACTAGAGGTGACAGGATCTAGAACTGCTTTCGACATCAAGATCAGCTGTTGAATGGCATCTACAGATCCATTACTCTTGAACACAGCTAAAGCCTGACAAAGCAGAAAACTTGGTTCAGTCTCAAGACCAATCCATGAAGAGAAGACTGATCACAAGTAAAGGGAACAAGTTTATCTTTAAACATGCATAACAAGAAACAGTATGCCAAGAATTTTTCACATGGAGAACTAGATAGTCTTTAAACCCACCAGTTTACAGATGGGCAAGAAGCCACCTAGTGTGGTAGTGTGCTGGTGTGATGACAGGAACCCAGTCCTGCCTGTCCTGAAGGTTCAGAATACCCTGCTGCCAGGACTATAGATGAAGAGCTACAAAAGATGTCAGCCTTTGTAAGTGATGGTATGCTTTTAACAAGGTCACTGCAAACTACAAGAGGCAGGGAAAGGTTATGGAACACTGGCTGAAAATCTCTCCAATTGATTATGCCTCGATTTTATGTTATAGGAAAAGTTACAGTTCTAGATTTAAATAATGAGTCAGTCCATCTTTTAAGCCAGGACATTCTATGAAGCATTCCTACCTCTTCCAGCTAGAAGAAATTCTCCTCCTTCATTCACAAGGTCCAAGACAACTGCCTGCCAATATCTGTCATTGTCATTATCTTCCTAACCATATAACAACTTTCCTGAAAGATGAAGATAAGCTTTGCTGTGTACTCAGTTCTCATCCTGTACCACTGTCAAAATGAATAAGAACTTGGGTCACAATTATATTAGAGGGCTTCAACACATTTGTGGAAAGTGGAATTAAAAAATCATTTAAATTTTCCACAAACTTTTTGAAAGCTCCTCATATAAGCTACACTACAATGACTTTTGCTAATTTTCTAGTATTGAAATCTTCAGTTTTCAAAATCATTCTCAGCCCACAAGTTTAAAGTGTGGAGAGGGCCACAGAACAAAAAGCTCAAACTGAAGGTCATTCTAAGTATCAGCCAAGTAGATGACATTTAAAATGCTCACTGAGCCAAAGTCCCCTTAATTAAAAATAATTATCCCATGATCTCATTACACATTAAAACAACAACAACAACAACAACAAAACACCCCAGAATATTTACTGAATGTGAAAGAAAAACAAACTCTGGATAAAATCTAAATTCAGTGGAAGTCTAATAAGAATTCTCCAAGCAATTTCCAAACTCCAATCTGAGACCTTCTGAGGTCATCCTTTAGTCACCTCAACGTTTGTGAATCCTTCTGCAAAATAGCTTTCTGACCTCTGAGCTTGTTGTTATCTTATTTAATCTTTCCCCTCATCCTCAATACATTTATGTTTATTTCTAGTTCTAGTTTAACAGAGGCACCCAACAACAAACTGTATCTTTAAGAACTAAGAGCTGAAATGGGTTCTCAGTAACTTAACCAATGAATCATTTAATAAAAGCAATGTTACATGAAGACAATGCTTTCCCACCAGAAACCATGCAAACCCACAGTGATTTATTTTATTACTATATCTGAATTATTGTCTTCATCTTAAATTTCCTCATATCTAAAGGTGAAAGAAACAGACAAAATCTGAAAGAAATCAGTAAAACAAAACATAGAGGCTCTTTTGTACCACAACACCAAAGATTAAACTATACAAATTTCGTAACTTCAGATAGCTTCCAGACTTTTAAACCCATAGCCAGAGCAGCATCTATCTTCACATACTGCATACAAACACAATTCTGAAAACATATACACAAATAATCCACATGTGTAATTAACATGCCAACTTGGAAGTAGTGGTACCCTTCCTGTTTATGGACTGTTGTTAGGTGCCATTGAGTCGGTACTGACTCATAGTGACCCTATGCACAACAGAACAAAACACTGCCCTGTCCTGGGCCGACCTCACAATCATTGCCACGCTTGAGCCCACTGATGCTGCCACTTTGCCAATCCATCTTGCTGGGGGTCTTCCTCTTTTTCTCTGACTCTCCACCTTACCAAACATGATATCCTTCTCCAGTGACTGGTCCCTCCTGACAATATGTTTGAAGTATGAAAGACAAAGTTTGGCCATCCTGGCTTCCAAGGAGCACTGTGGCTGCACTTCTTCCAACACAGATCTGTTGGTTCTTTTGGCAGCCCATGGCACTTTGAATATTCTTCTCCAACACCATAACTCAAAAGCATCAATTCTTCTAAGGTCTTCCTTATTCACTGTCCAGCTTTCGCATGTGAGGATACTGAAAATACCATGGCTTGGGTCAGGCGCACCTTAATTTTCAAGCTGACATCTTTGCTCTTCAACACTTTAGAAAGATCTTGTGCTGCAGATTTGCCTAATGCAATATGTTGTTTTAGTTCTTGACTGCTGCTTCCATGAGTGTTGATATTTGATCCAAGAAGAATGAAGTCCTTGACAACTTCAATCTTTTCTCCATTGATAAGAATGCTGTTTATTGGTCCAGTGGTGAGGACTTTTGTTTCCTTTACATTGAGATGTAATCCATACCGAAGGCTGTGCTCTTTGATCTTCATCAGTAAATATTTTAAGTCCTCTTCACTTTCAGCAAGCAAGGTTGTATAATCTGCATATCGCAGGTTGTTAATGAGTCTTCTCCAATCCTGATACCACGTGTTTCTTCATATAACCCAACTGCTCGGATTATTTGCTCAGCATACAAGATGAATAAGTATGGTGAAAGAATACAACCCTGTCACACACACCTTTCTTAATTTTAAACCATTCAGTGTTCCCATGTTCTGTTGGAACAATTCCCTCTTGGTCTAGGTACAGATTCCTCATGAGCACAATTAAGTGTTCCGGAATACTCATACTTCGCAATGTTGTCCATAGTTTGTTATGATCCACACAATCGAAACCCTGAAACCAAGAATAGTCAATGGGTTCTATTCTCCAAACAAACTATCAGAAACCAAAC